GGGCAAGGGGGGGTATCGCCACAAAATCACAAAGATCATTGCGAAGCATAACGAAACATTACAAGCATCTTACGATGGTTCACGAAGTCTACAAAGAGGTACAAAGGTATACGACGACGACGTTTATGATGAAACCTCAAGAAAGACAACTTTATTCATTTTTTTAACCTTAGTATTAAATTTGGGCCGAGTTTGAAACATACACATTCACAAGTTAGGATAAAGTATTGGTAAATTCAACACCCTAGCTAGCCTTTTAGCTCTTCACGGTTCACAACACTATACCCGTCGCGTTTTAGGGGTGGCGTATTTCTGTTGGGAGTTTTGTTGGGCAAACAAGCCCAACGGAAGTGCCGTGATTCATTCCTTATGAAGAATGGGCATTGAACTGCGCATGCGCTGAGGGTTATGGATGTTTGGTTGTCATACTGGTTTCTAAATGCGTTTTTTGTTTGTCAGGGGAATTTGTTCCTCTCATTCTCTCAATGAAATAGCATTTCTGGAGTTGTGACAAACAAAACCAACTCCAACACGTCAAACAAATCCAACAAGTCAAACAAAACCAACAAGTCCAACAAACCCAATAAGTCCAACAAAAACCAACAAAAACCAACATGTCAAACAAAACCAACAAGTCAAACAAACCCAACTGAACAAGTCCAACAAGCCAAACAAGTCCAACAAGCCAAACAAGTCTAACAAGCCAAACAAAACCAACAAGTCCAACAAACCAAACAAGTCAAACAAACCCAACAAGCGAAACAAATCCAACAAGTCAAGCAAGCAAACAAAACCAACAAACCCAACACATTCAACAAGCCAAACAAAACCAACAAGTCCAACAAAACCAACAAGTCAAACAAAACCAACAAGTCAAACAAACCCAACAAGTCAAACAAGCCAAACAAATCCAACATGTGAAACAAAACCAACAAGCCCAACATGTCAAACAAATCCAACCAAACAAGCCAACAAACCCAACACGCCAAACAAGCCAACACGTCAAACAAATCCAACAAGTCAAACAAACCCAACAAGTCCAACAAGCGAAACAAGTCAAACAAAACAAAACAAAACAAGTCCAACAAGTCAAACAAAACCAACAAGTCAAACAAAACCAACAAACCCAACAAAGTCCAACAAACCCAACAAGTCCAACAAACCCAACAAGTCAAACAAAACCAACAAGTCAAACAAAACCAACAAACCCAACAAGTCCAACAAACCAAACAAGTCAAACAAAACCGACAAACCAAACACATACAAGTCAAACAAAACCAACAAACCCAACAAGACAAACCAAACAAGTCCAACAAACCCAACTAGTCAAACAAAACCAACAAGTCAAACAAAACCAACAAGTCAAACAAAACCAACAAACCAAACAAAACCGACAAGTCCAAAAAACCCAACAAACCAAACATCCAACAAACCCAACAAGTCAAACAAAACCAACAAGTCCAACAAGCCAAACAAAACCAACAAACCCAACAAACCAAACAGCACAACAAGCACACCAAGCACAAAACAAAGTCAAACAAACAAACAAACAAAACCAACAAACCCAACACGTCCAACAAGCCAAACAAAACCAACAAGCAAAACAAATCCAACTAGTCAAACAAGCCAACAAACCCAACACGCCAAACAAGCCAACACGTCAAACAAATCCAACAAGTCAAACAAA